TGGATGGATGGATGGACGGATGGATGGATATAGGATGGATACAGAATGGATGGATACAGGATGGACGGATGGATACGGGAATGTTTGATTGAATTAGTGATTTTATGAATGAAATTGGAGTAGGAGTTTGTATTCATAAATGCGTAGTTAGATAGGTCATCTAACCCATACACAATTGGTCACATGCAAACGTAAATTCAGCAAGATGTAGAAAACCTTCTCTTGACGATAAAATAACCTACTTCAAGACGGTGAAATCTAGATCGCTTCCAGCGCGAAGCAGTTCAGCCTTCACCTGGCTATGTGACATTCCAGAAAGCGGGGTTTTGCAGATTTTGACGATCACATCCCCAGGCTCGAGTCCAGCTCGGTGAGCGATGCCATTACGCGTTATCTATTACACAAATAATACGATTTTTTGATTGACCTCGTTACTGTGCTTATTTTGTTTGCCGCTCCCCACCCGCAAAGTTTTAAAGCTTGCATTCAACAACCAGAAATTCCCTTTACTAATCAGTGGCCAAGGTCGGATATAGCGTGCAACTTAAATCTACGCAACAACCAAAGCCTATTTGCATTGGATGTCACTAAGCTAGAGCTAAAAAGTAACATGTAAATTGCTTTAGAGAAAAAAGTATGCACAATTTTTGAATGAAATGGGCTAATGTGCTACTTGGCAGATTGGTCTGTTGAACAATCTCTACTCACATTTAGCTCATTGTTAAATACATCGTTTTTAAGCACAAATTTCTCCTTCGTATTGTAAATCCATACGGCGAAATCACCACTTAAATGCGCCTATTAAGTACCGTAAAAACCCGCGTAGGACCTTACATTCCCCTCCCCTCCCCCCCATCCCCTTTAATTGCCGTACTGACCACTCCTAATTAGAGCGACAAAAACACATGCAAGACTTCTAGTGAAATATAAAAGAATAAATAAGTTAACAAGGTACTTATATAACAAGACGTAGTAAAAAAGAAAGAAGAAGCGCAACGGAGTTTTTTTGAAATTTCCCAATATCGCGTGCGTCTTAAACAAAAGTGGGGAAATTCAAGAAAGACGAGAATCATTTCCGTGGCCTCTGTGTAAAACCTTTTTAATTGAAGTATATATATATATTTTATTGTTATTAAAAGCACAATGTGTTTACCTTATGAAACACAAAAGTCAGGAAACAGCAAGCTGGTAATTACTTATCGACTTTTGAGGCGAGTAAAGTTCAGGCAACTTAATCGATTATTCCATGTCAGTGAAAATCAATAAACTTGCCTTATCAAGCGTGGATGGGGAAATTGCTTCCACTGCTTTTTTTCCCCCAATTTTAGGCATAAAAAGTGTTTCAAAAGTTCGGGAATTACTAACAAGTTTTACAGAATTAATTACGGTTTCCTATTAATAAAATTTTGTCTAACCTTGTGCACAAAGACAGGGAGTCCTTGATCAGCACCGCCTTGGAGCACAAACCCCCATGACTTATCCGATGAGGGTCGTCGAAGCTGATAGACCACAGGCTCAGTTGACATAATCCTTAGGTGTATCCGAGCACTAGAAAATTTTCTTGTCCAAGCAAAGGCGAAATCAAGCCGAGGCAAGGCGAACCGCGGTAAGGTCAATGCCTACAGTGAAACAACCACCTTTGCAACCGCGTAGCCAATGCGGGGAGGATTGCCCTTACACGCGTCATGCGATTGGTCGAAGCATTTGGTAGGTGTAATTATATTGGTGCGGATTGCACGTACGTGCGACATCATCCGAAACAATCGATTTTCCCTTCCGAATGTGCGTGTGGGTGTAGGGAGATGGGAGAGTGGGGCTTCGTCCAAATGAGGGTGTGAAACTTATTAATTACGGAAATGCACGCTAAGAAAAGGCTGAGGCGAATGGCATTTACAAATTTAAACTTAGAAACAAAGTTCTTCCTTTTTTGTCTTTTTTTGCTTAAGTGCCTGGGGGGAGGGAGGAGGGGGAGGAGGGGGTGTGTTAACGTATTCACAAGTTAGAAATAGGAAGTGCATTGCATTGCCTCCAATGAAATGACACCTTCTGATTGGGGATTGATTGTGATCCCCAAACTGCGAATCTATACGTCTAGCAGACCTAAAAAACTTCTTTTTCCCTTTTGTAAATAAACAGGAAATAGTTGTTCAGCCCTCAGTAAGGAATTTTATGGTGAACGGTTGTGGCCTACAGTAAGCCGGATACACGCACTGGATCAGTGTAGTCTTCTAGGGATGATGTGATGGGGACAAATGAATGAAGCGGACCTATTTGCTTAATGGGAGCACCTAAACTACCATCAGGAGGTGCTAAAGGTGTTCCATTCCTTGGCATGAGGCTTTTAAGGCATGCAGGTTATTGCACCGAGGTTCACCGATATCGCATGGCTTTTACGACCAACTGAAACAACGCTACAGAGGATGAGGTGGACTATTAACCCAAATGTCAACGATGGGGCAGAGAGGTAGATCCATTGATATCTAAAATGTACTTTCATCCACTGATTTTAACCTCGTACAAATTGACTCATCGAGTGGCCATCCATCAGGTTGAAAGGTAAGGGTGGATTGACTGTGTATGGTGACGAGAAATTCGTCGAAGCTTGCCCTAAAAGACGCATGGCTCCTTCTTGTTTGATGTCACGAAGGCAAAAAAGTTGGTTTTGGGGTGGATAGGATAGCCAGCGGATGGCCTGAAAAGTTCGTCTGGCTATGACAATTAGCTCCTTGCAACGATTTGTTAGCAGAACTTGTAAAGCAGGAGTTGGCGCCAGGCTATCTTTGCAAAAATGCGGGTTTAAAATAAACGCAACTTGGCTGATTCTGGAATAGAGAGCGGATGCCTTTCTTCCACAGAAACTAGAAAAAAAGCCTTTTTCTAGGCATTGTTGAAGGCTACCTCAAGCTCTAAAAGGTGGCCAAGCCGTGAAAATAATCTTACGGCATCCAAATTAATTTTGAAAGCACATTTTGAGGTCATGGAGAAAAGATTCATGGAATAGCTAGTTCCATTCCACATTAATGGAATTCTGGAATATGCCAGAAGCAATGCTGTACCCCTAAAAGGAAATCGTCCTCACCGCCTATATAAATGGAAGGATCCCACCAACAAAAATGTCTACGTCATCCTTCCGCCTACATCAGCACAGATGCCGCAACTCCACCTAGCGTTGATTTTACCATCGCACGAATTGGAGTTGAATCATCGTCCCATCACCTCTGCGATACCTTTATTCCCACTTTTCCCTGTCCATCGATGTAAACAAAGAAGGAATAGAAGTGGATCACAAAGGGATTACTTGTAACGAGGTACCTGTCCCTCGAGTTAGTTCTAGAGATTCAGCAGTTTTCTCTGCCCTTTCAACATATAGAGCGACAGGGGGACTCGTAGTGGGGTTTTATACCACCAATATGGTTGGTAGCTCCTCCATCCCAACAACTTCGAAATAGGGGGAGAAAAGCCAAAGCTGTCAACAAAGACGAAATCGATTTGAAGGGCTTCTCTACATCATGTTAGAGGCGTTTGCAGTTGAATAGAAGCAAGACATTTGTAAGGATAACCGGGCTAGCCTTTTCCACATTCGACTGTCCGTCATCACCAATGGGATGCCTCGAGTGCTAACGACGACAAAAAGCGCCTTTGCGTTGAGGCTGCCTCTTGATATGCAAGTGGACGTCCAAGTAGCAATTGTGGGGAGTGGTGGGCACCACAGAACTCACACTTCCATGACTGTAAGCTAAGCTTCTACGGCAGAGAGGTTGAGTCGTAGGTCATTAGAAAAAATATCAGTCTGCTTCTTTTTTGCCTTGTTAATAGGGAATTTGAACCCAAAGGGGGTGAGGAGGGTCTGGCATTTGACACTTCGTGAGACAGGCGGTTTAGGAGTGCAAAAGAACGTCTATGCAGACATCAGCAGATGGAAAGTGGATCATGGAATGTAAAAACTCACATACGGAATTAAACAGAAAATCGGTTTGACTTTAAAATTTGAAAAGTGCAGCATATCCTCTCTTTCCTGAAGTCACGAATAGCCAAGGAGGTATGGAAGCATACGGGTTACTCGCGAAGAAGAAGGCTCAGACTCATGAATTATGTGTTTCATTAAGGCGCTTACCGCTTTACCTTTGAATTTTATTGTGATTCCAACATAAGTACATCCTACTGTAATACGATAGTGGTTTATCCCTCGGTTCTAGTGAGGCGCCACTTTTGTACTTCGAATTGGTCCCCTTGTACCTCGCTGGGTGGGCTGGCCTTTTGGGCCATGCCAATAGCCCAGACACCTTCTCCGTGCTGAATATATATATTCTGCCCGAGTATTGTGTCTTCTTTCGTCTTCAGGGAGTCCCGGGACGCTACACTACAGTCAGTCTATTTAAAGATTGGCCAAAATTTTACCATCCAAATAAGCCTTTTAATTTCATTGAGAGGAATCGTCTGGCCAATGGACTATTAAAAGACGACTACCTAGCTTTGTTTTATTTGCTAACACATTCCAGTTTTATGTTTGTTTGGATCACCTCCACACAGCGTAGGGAAAACATGTCGGAATACAATTTCGCACAAACATGTACCACGTTTGACTCAGCATGGCTTGGCAACGTGTCAGCCTATCTGTATATAAGGGGCGTACGATAGATGTGTCACGAAATTCTCGTTTATATTATCAAATACTAACTCCCTGCCTCCATACTTAACAATCCGCTGTGGATTTGCAAAAAAACCCCACTAAACTGTAAATTTTGGTGACTTTTTTGAAGGATTTTAAATTTTTCCTTTCACAGAGAATATATTTGTTTGCCTACCCAAAAAAA